CTGATAACTCAAACTCAAAATAGATTTTCCCCATGTGTTCTCCTCTGAGCCATTCAAACTCTCTTCACTCAGTGCCATCTCATTAATATTGAGTCATGTTATGTACAAAAGATTTAGCTTCATCACAAGGGGGGAAAGCAGCCAACCTTCCCATCTGCAAACAATCCCAGCTCAGCAGGAAAAAGCCCAGAAGCAGCTTTGCTGGAAGCAGAAATGAAAGCACAGAATGACTATTCTGTGTTTGGGATCCATTCAAATTCCCCCTCCAGGCTTTGACAATTTCACATCTAGCCCCAATGACTCTGATTTAGGATCAAAGTGTGATACATAAGCACAGGGAGCATGCAGAACATGGCATCACGTGACACACTGGGAGGTGCACGGGTAGAACGTGGGGAGGATAAACGCTGTTGTGGCTTACACAGAAGCTAGTGCTGCTGGGGCAAGTGGGGATTGTGACAGTGATGGGGAAGGAGGGAATCCCTTTGATCCTTTGGGTGTCACAGAGGCTGAAATGACACATTTTTCCTACCCCTGCTCTTTGTTCTATTTCAATCTATTTTAATTGAGGAAAATGGTAGAAAAAATATTTTTGTCCAGCACAACCCTGAGCAAGGTGAGAACAACTGGGATTGAGACAATCTGTCCCCAAGGGGCTAGGAATCACTTTGTAATGGGGGAATGGTATCGACGTTATGCTTGGGGTTTGTCTAGACTAGGAAAAATGAGGCGGGTGAGCTCAGGTCAAGGGGAAAGCTAACCCCAGCCACTGTACCCGGATTATGTCTGCACTGCAAATGTAGTCGTGTTGTTACAAGATCGCTAAGCTGAGCGGCTACCTCCATGTAGAATCCCAGTGGAGACAAGGCACAGGTAGTTTTTACTTCAGTGTAGCTAGTCAAGGTCAAACCCATCTCCCCCACCTGGCGCTGATGGATATTTCTGGCAGGAGGGGGGCACAGTTCCAGGTGATAGCAGACAAAGGAGTTGATAAAGGATGATGGGATTCACCCCGAAAGAGAAGAGGCAAAAGACAGAGGCAGGCAACTGACGTGGAGCTGAGAGACCACACTGAACAAAATGGTGCAAATTACTTGGGAATTATTTTACAAAAAATCTTTGGCCAGCTCTAGTCAAGAGGTTTATGGCATTACTTGCCTGTGTGGATTCTCTTATGTCTGATAAAAGCTGACCTCTGTCTAAAACTTTTGCTGCACTCAGAGCATGTGAAGGGTGTCTTTACTGTGTGGATTCTCTGATGTGTGATGAGGGTTTTCCTCTCACTAAATCTTTTCCCACATTCAGAGCACGAGTAGGGTCGTTCTCCTGTGTGGATTCTCTGATGTGATATAAGGTGTGAGCTCTGACTAAAACTTTTATGGCATTCAAAGCATGTGTAGGGTCTCTCTCCAGTGTGGACTCTCCGATGTGCTGTCAGGTTTGATCTGTGTTTGAAGCTTTTCCCGCACTCAGAGCATGTGAAGGATCTCTCTCCTGTATGGACTCTCTGATGTGTGATGAGGGTTGAGCTCACATTGAAGCTTTTCCCACACTCAGAACACGTGTAGGGTCGCTCTCCTGTGTGTATTCTCTGGTGTGTAATGAGCTGTAATCTTCCATTGAGGCTTTTCCCACAATCAGAGCATGTGTAGGGTCGCTCTCCTGTGTGGATTCTCTTATGTATGATGAAGGCTGAGCTCCAACGAAAGCTTTTCCCACACTCAAAGCATGTGTAGGGTCTCTCTCCAGTGTGGACTCGCCCATGTCTGATAAGGTGTGAGCTCACATTGAAGCTTTTCCCACACTCAGAGCATGAGTAGGGTCGCTCTCCTGTATGGATTCTCTGATGTATGATAAGGCTTGAGCGTTGATTGAAGCTTTTCCCGCACTCAGAGCATGTACAGGGTCTCTCTCCCGTGTTGATTTTTTCATGGCTAATAAGGTTTGAGCAGCTACTGAAGCTTTTATCGGGCCTACGCTGACTCTCACAGGTTTGTGCCTCTGCACGACTCAAAGAAACTTTCCCTTTGGATCTTTCTGCTAACATCCCATGTGGCTCTACTTCCTCCGTATTTTCCTTCTTGGGAGTCTTCTTCTTGTTCTCACTCACCATCCCATCACCTGGAAGGACAGAGAGAGAATCGAGACATAGGTCACTCCCTGTGCTGGGGAGAAAGGAAACCTCAGAGAGTGGAATGGAAAAAAGTGAGAACAAACCAAAATGAGTGCGAGAAAGATCAAACAAAATAGGATTTGATTTCCACCCTTTATCCCTGCCCTCCCAAATCCCTTCCCCAAAGGACAGAGAGGTGGGCAGTAAATTTTCCCACAGTGCACCACAATCCTAGAGCCAGAGCAGCTATATTTGCAGGGGGCGGGGGGCACTAGAAATTCTGTGTGTGGTTATTTTGACTTGGGTCTCGGCACTGCTGTGTGGACACCAGAGTCCTAAGTTCCAGCACAGGTTAGAAAAGTCTTAACACAGGCTTAAAATACAATACAGACACTCAAGACCAGGGTTTTTTCACATGTGTCATCTGACTCAATTCCCACTAAGCCTGAGCCCTGGTCTACACTAGGGGTGGGGTCAACCTAAGATACGCAACTTCAGCTATGTGAATAGCGTAGCTGAAGTCGACGTATCTTAGGTCGACTTACCTGGCCGTGAGGATGGCAGCGAGTCGACCGCTGCCGCTTCCCCGTCGACTCCGCTTCCGCCTCTCACGAGCTGGAGTTCCAGAGTCAACGGGACTAGACGAGACGCGATAAATCGATCCCCGATAGATTGATCTCTACCCGCTGATCTGGCGGGTAGTGAAGACCTGCCCTGAGATTATATTGCAGTGTAGATATACCTAATGTCTTTTGCTGTAAGCATTGGAGGAAGGGGTCTCGCACTTTGTTGGAAGATTTGCATCATGAGAAAACCACCTGTATTCTATTTTCTCATTTTCTAATCTGTCAGAGTAGCAGGAGGTGGAGAAGTGATGCAAATGCATAAAACACAAGAGCAAAGCTAAGAGATAAAAGCATAGAATCAGGACTCAACATTCCTGTATCCTGCAGTTTGAACTTGGAGTATGACACATTCATTCCTTCACTGACCATCATCACTTGCACAGCATGGAAGTGCTCCTTGTCCAAAAAGGCCGTCAGATGGGGATCCAGGGAGAAGGAATGTCCTCTGAAGGCACCAACTGTTTCTCTCTTTGCCCCATAAACTTTGGACCCAAATGGCAAATGACAATTGCTCCCAATTTAATCATGGCATTCTTTGGCACCAGAATGAATTCCCCTGAACTAAGGAGCAGTGTTCTAACAATAAATAGTTTAGCTGAGCCATAGGTCATCATAGTTTCCATCTCTGTGGTGAAAATCAACCACTGGATACCTGCTATTTCTACCTGATCTAATCCTTGGCCTTGCTCGGGACAACTTGACACTTCTCTGTGGTAGAATCCTTACCAAACCACACCAAATGTCAGTAGTGATAGTGAGGAATAGCTTCCCCAAACATGCCCCGTTTGTTTATTAGATATGGTGGCACAGATCTAAGATAGGGACTAGATCCAGGCTTGGACCAGAATCCCTGTAACCCACCAAAGGTGGGGTGTTTATTAAAAACTGGTATAATTCTGAAGCTGTCTCACATTCAACAATGACTTCATTGTATACATATTTGCAGCATCTACAAGAGGTAAGCTCCTCAAAAATGCCACTTCCATGTTCTCCATCTCTACAGAGATAGGAATTGTGTTTCCCAAATAACAGGCAGCGTGCACCTGATTTGGAAGGAAATGTCTTCAATAGTAACCTCCTGTAGGACCTGGACAACAATTGCTTTGTCACTAACTGGGGAATACACCTCCCAGATATCTGAAACTATATTGCCATATTGCCAAGTGAACAACAGTGTGTTGACCAAACTAAGTTAAAACCCACAGTGCTTCATAACACTAGCTGACAGAACTGGACCAGAGGGATTTGCGATCCAACTATTGAGCAAATTGAGTCAGTATACTCTTCAGCTAACTAAAGACAAGTGGAAAAATACCGGTTGTGAAATCACGGCAGTGCTGTTGCAATGACAGCTACCATGTAAGAATGGAATTTTACTGAACCCTAAGATGTACCATGGAACTATTATTTTGGAATGTAGTTTGCTTATCTAAGTTCTCACAATCAGAATTATTATTCAGGGATGTAAATTGTTTTACTACAAACTACCAGTTTGTCTGGATAAGATATCCTGGGATATCAGTTCTTATAAGTAAAAGTGTGATAACTAATAAAAATATAAATGTATTATTGTAGCAAGTGTAAGTGAAATAGTGGTATTTATAATCAAAATAAGAAAATAGTCAATAGTGCATACGTAAAGTATAGTATATTTGAAGTCCTTTGTATTCATGTTAACTTCTAACAAACTGTACGGCAGGTAGATGCTGCAGCCTTTGTAAGAACATCTGCTTTGTATCTGTGCTGCAGAATGAAAGCTTAGCAAAAATTAAGATACAAGAAGCTTGTAAAATACACTTAAATACAACAACTTCTAGGTGTTGTGCTATATTTGGCTATGACAATATATATGAAATTAGGTGAGAGAAAGTCTGTAAATTCTATAATTAGCCTATATTAATAGTATACACAGTACGAAAATTATATATAATATCACATATGTTTCCTGAACTGTCCTCATGTTAATATCTTCCAAATTGCTTTTTCACTTACATTAAACAAAGAATTGAAATATTGTAATGAAGGGCTAGGCACAAACATAGCATAGATCAGTGCTTCTCAAAGTCGGGCCGCCTCTTGTTCAGGGAAAGCCCCTGGCGGGCCGGGCCGGTTTGTTTACCTGCCGCGTCCGCAGGTTCGGCCGATCGCGGCTCCCACTGGCGCGGCTCCCACTGGCGCTCCCAATGGAGGCTGCGGGAAGCGGCGCGGGCCGAGGGATGTGCTGGCCGCCCTTCCCGCAGCCCCCATTGGCCTGGAGCGGCAAACCGCGGCCAGTGGGAGCCGCAATCGGCCGAACCTGCGGACGCGGCAGGTAAACAAACCGGCCCGGACAGCCAGGGGCTTTCCCTGAACAAGCAGCGGCCCGACTTTGAGAAGCACTGGCATAGATAACCTAGGCCTGGAATGTTCAAAACAAAATTCTAGTCTTGTGTATATGCCTCACTGTTTTTCTTCAATGAGTGGGGTCTGCATAACTGTCAAAATGTGAAGTATACGCCATGCTGAAACCTACAACATATCCACCACATAGAAGGCGTAGCAATTACTGTCTATGAAAAACATATCACAGAAAATAAAGAGGAAAGATACATTAGATAAAGTGATATGGGGAAAATTGCAAACTCCCCCTCCCTGTTAGGTATAAATATAGGAGGGATAAGCACAGAATCTTTGAGGAAGTGGACTGCTGCAACTCCTGTCTTCCGCATGGATTTGTAACATATTTACTCTTCCTTTCTCTATTATGCTGTATTAATCTTTGTAATAATAATTTACTTATCACTTGATTAAACCTAGTTATGGGACATCTCCTGCTTTTAATTTATATTGCATGCAGAACAAGTGTGATCATGTCCAATTACTTCAGTTAGTTCTAGAATTTGTGGTATGCCATTGTTCACTGTTACAGAGTAGATTTTTTTAAATGGTTCTGTTTCCTTGGGAGCATGCCCAATAGCTCGGAGTATTCTTTCATGATGGCGGAACTGCACTTGAACTTCCTCCATATCATGATGGAGGAGTGGGGAAAAGACCCATAGAAAATAAGATATTATCGCATTAGCAAACGGTCATTTGTCTCAAAGTCCCCAATAAATCTGAGGTACATTCTCTCAAACAAAAGTAATATCCAATTATGAGACCAAACCGACTTCAGGACAGAGAGAAAAACCCACAACACAGAGGGGCAGAAGACACTTTCAGTTTCATATAAAATGAAATTCCAGAGCAGGTTATGTCTGATAACTCAAAATCAAACACATTGAGAGGTGCAGGGGTAGAACGTGGGGAGGATAAACGCTTTTGTGGCTTACACACAAGCTAATGCTGCTGGGGCGAGGGGGGATTGTGACAGTGATGGGGAAGGAGGGAATCCCTTTGACTCACCCCATCTCCTTCAGGTGTCACAGAGGCTGAAATGACACATTTTCCCTATCCCGCTCCTGCTCTTTGTTCTATTTCAATCTATTTTAATTGAGGAAAATGGTAGAAAAAAAAATTATTCTGTTCAGCACAACCCTGAGCAAGGTGAGAACAAGTGGGATTGAGACAATCTGTCCCCAAGGGGGAACACGGTGACTAACCATCACTTTGTAATGGGGGAATGGTATCAATGTGATGCACGGGGTTTATCTACACTAGGAAAAATGATGGAGGTAAGTTCAGGTCAAGGGGAAAGCTAACCCCAGCCACTGTACCCGGATTATGTCTGCACTGCAAATGTAGTTGTGTTGTTACAACAAGATCACTAAGATGAGCAGCTACCTCCATGTAGAATCCCAGTGGAGACAAGGAATGGGTAGTTTTTACCTCAGAGTAGCTAGTCAAGGTCAACCCATCTCCCCCACCTGGTGCTGATGGATATTTCTGGCAGGAGGATATAAGAGAAAGAAGTTGATAAAGGATGATGGGAATCACCTCAAAGAAGGGGAAGGGGCAAAAGACAGAGGCAGGCAACTCACGTGGAGCTGAGAGACCACACTGAAGAAAATGGTACAAACTATGTGGGAATTCGCCAATGTATTTTACAAAAAATCTTTGGCCAGCCCTAGTCAAGACATTTATGGCATTACTTGCCTGTGTGGATTCTCTTATGTCGGATAAAACTTGAGCTCCAACGAAAGCTTTTCCCACACTCAAGGCATCTGTAGGGTCTCTCTCCAGTATGGACTCTCCGATGTCTGATGAGGTATGCACTGACTTTGAAGCTTTTCCCGCACTCAGGGCATGTGAAGGAGCCCTCTCCTGTGTGGATTCTCTGATGTGCAATAAGGTGTGAGCGCTTGATGAAGCTTTTCCCGCACTCAGCGCACTTGTAGGATGTCTCTCCCGTGTGGACTCTCCGGTGTCTGATGAAGTATGAGCTGTCTTTGTAACTTTTCCCGCAGTCAGAGCATGTCAAGGATCCCCCTCCTGTGTGGATTCGCTGATGTCTAATGAGGTGTGAAGTCACACTGAAGCTTTTCCCGCACTCAGAACACTTGTAGGGTCGCTCTCCTGTGTGAATTCTCTGATGTCTGATAAGGTGTGAGCTCTCACTGAAGCTTTTCCCACACTCAAAACACTTGTAGGGTCGCTCTCCAGTGTGGATTCTCTCATGTATGATAAGGTTTGAGCTTCGATTGAAGCTTTTCCCACAATCAGAGCATGTGTAAGGTCGCTCTCCTGTGTGGATTCTTTGATGTGTGATAAGGTCTGAGCGCCGAGTGAAGTGTTTCCCGCACTCAGAGCATATGTAGGGTCTCTCTCCCGTGTTGATTCTATCATGTCTAATAAGGTCTGAGCCACTACTGAAGGTTTTCTCTGGCCTATGCTGACTCTCACAGGCTTTAGCCTCTGCATAACTCCAAGAAATTTTCCCTTTGGATCTTCCTGCTAATGTCCCATGTGGTTCTACTTGCTCAGCATCTTCCTGGCAGGAGGTCTTCTTCTTGTTTTCACTCACCATCCCATTGCCTGGAAGGAGAGAGAATGCAGACATAGGTCACGCCCTGTGTTGGGGATAAAGGAAACCTCAGGGAAAGGAATGGAAAAAGGTGGGAACAAACCAAAATAAATGCTTGAGAGATAAAAGAAATCAGGATTTGATTTCCACCTTTACTGCCCATCCTCAAATCTCTTCCCCAGAAGCTAGAGAGGTGAGCAGTAAATTTTCCCACAGTGCACCACAGTCTTAGAGCTAGAGAGGGCACATTTTGGGAGGGGAAACTAGGGACTCTGGAACGTGGTTACTTTGACTCAGGTCTGGGCATTGCTGTGTGGACACCAGAGTCCTAGGTTCCAGCACAGGTTAAAAAAGTCTTAACATAGGGTTAAAATACAATGTAGACACTCAAGCCCATGGTTTCTTCAAGATCGTTAAGCTGAGTAGCTAACTCCATGTACAATCCCAGTGAAGACAAGGCACAGGTACTTTTTACCTCACTGTAGGGTCAACCCCATCTCCCCAATCGGGCACTGATGGTATTCCGGGCAGGAGGACAACACAATCCCAGGACATATCAGACAAAGAGTTGTGAAATAAGGGTGAGGTGCAAAAGACAGAAACAGGCAACTCACGTGGAGCTGAGAGACCACACTGAAGAAAATGGTGCAAACTACTTGGGAATTAGCTAATGTATTTCTTTAAAAATCTTTGGCCAGCCCTAGTCAAGACATTTATGGCATTACTCGCCTGTGTGGGTTCGCTTATGTCTCATAAAAGCTGAGTCCTGTCTAAAACTTTTCCCGCACTCAGGGCATGTGAAGGATCGCTCTCCTGTGTGGATTCGCTGATGTGTGATAAGGTGTGAGCGCCGATTGAAGCTTTTCTCACACTCAGAGCATGTGTACGGTCGCTCTCCTGTGTGGACTCTCCGATGTCTGCTGAGGTTTGAGCTGTGGTTGAAGCTTTTCTCACAATAATAGCATGTGTAGGGTCTCTCTTCCATGTTGATTCTTTCATGTCTAATAACGTCTGAGCAGCTACTGAAGGTTTTCTCTGGCCTATGCTGACTCTCACAGGCTTTAGCCTCTCCACAGCTCCCAGAAACTTTCTCTTTGCATCTTCCTGCTAATGTCCCATGTGGTTCCAGTTGCTCAGCATCAACCTGCTGTGGATTCTGCTCCTCGTTCTCACTCACCATCCAATTACCTGGAAGGAGAGAGAGAGAATCCAGGCATCGGTCACTCCCTGTGCTGGGGAGAAAGGAAACCCCAGAGAGGAATGGGAAAAGGTGGGACCAAACCAAAATAAGTGCTGGAGACATCAAACAAAACAGGATTTGATTTGCACCCCTGCCCCAACCTGCCCTACCAAAAGCCCTTCCCCTGCGGACAGAGAGACAGGGTCATTTCTGGGTCCACATCCCATTCAGGGGGAAGGAAGATTGGGGAGGGAGCTACAGCCAGATGTCAATCAGGAGAGGTGGGAAGCCAGGAGTGACATCTGCCATGAGGATGCCAAACCTGCTGGGAACAATTTTGAATTCGAAGAAGTCACAAGATCTTTGTAGGAAACCCCAAATGTTTCCTTCATTCATGGACAGTTTCTGAGTTGGTTCAACAGATCCCTCACCTGTCTGGGCACCTTTCTGGAGCTCTATTTCTTCAGAGCCCTGGAGATCTGGGACCCACAGCTCTTCCCCTCGTTCCAGCCGGGAGATCACATCAGGTTTGGAAACTGGAAACCCTGCGTAAGAGAACAAAAACAAGAGAGATCAGTGGAATTTGTGGGATACTTGTCACAAAGAACATTCCATGATTTTACCCTCAGATCACTTTTAAGCATTCCTGGGCTCCAATCAGTAGAACAGTTATTATTATTAATCATGTTCATTACAGTAGTGCCTAAGGGCCAATAAAAAATGGGGCCCCATTGTTCTCGGCATTGTATAAACACAGAGTAGTAGAATGTCCATGCCCTGAGGTGGGGGAAGAATTAGAATACAGGAGCAGAGTGAACAATGTAATGGCACACAGATATGACAAACACAGGCATAACCTGATACTATTGTATTTAACTGTGATGGGGTACACAGTCCCCACATTGGGCCTGATAGGGTTAAAGGACTATCGGGTACAGGCAGCCACGCCCCGAGGCCTGTGGAACGTGCTTCAGCTGGAGGAACAGGTTAAAAGATGCTTAGAAGCCCAGGGAAATGGGGGAGAGGGAACAGGCTAAGGGAAAACAGGTCCTTCTCCTGAAAAGCCACTTGGAAGGTTGGACCTGGGATAGAACGACAGTGGTGAGACCCCCCAGGCCATGCCTTCTCCAAACCCCACTCCTCCTTTTCTCACAACCAACAGACCCCACATGGCTCTGCTCTTTTGAACTCAGGGGGAGCTTGAATGGGAGATGAGACACTAACCAGGGCCCTCAGCAGAGGCCATTGCCATGGTGGAGAACTACCTGATGTCCCTTGGGTCCAAAGCTGAAACACCAAAAGCCAGTCTGGTGCACCTCCGGAGCCCCAAGTCCCACTGAGCCCAAATCTCACTGAGGCTATCCGGCTGGTCTTGGACACTGAATCCTAGCAGACAGGAATACAAAGACCAATAGAGGAGCCTGGAAGCCCACCTTCAGCTAGTGAAGAGACATTTTTGGGTCAAGCCGAGCAGCCTTATTTGAAGGGGACATCCCATTCAGGAGAATTAACGGCAAAACCTGGGGGCTGCTTGCATGTGAGCAGCCAGGCCATTTCAGATGGGACTGCCCAGTCATGGACTATAATTATGGGCAGGCCTGGAGAGCGGATAACTGGGCTCAAAAATGGGCCCAGGGAAAATGTTAGTCTCCTTGCTAGTGAATGGAGTAAAAGTACAAAATAGACTCTGGCTGCAGTCAGACTTTAGTCAGGGAGCGATTGGTGGAGTCAGAAGGAGCATCTAGAGGCATGATCTACTGCCAATGTATCCATGGGACATACAACCCTGTTCGATGAGACCAACTCACTGTGCAAGACCACACCGAGACAGTGCAGGCCAGAGTGGCCAAAGACCTGGCCTATCTGGTCATACTTCGGCATGACTGGAAGTTTTTCAGGGAGGATGTCCAGGGATGGCATGGAGCATCTGCAGAGGGGCTAGAGCCTGGACTGGAAGAACCAGGAGGAAAGCAGATGGCCATGGTGGCCAAGAGGAGGTACCAAGAGGAGATGACTCTATTGGAAGCCAAAGATCCAGGAGAGAGAAAGTATGCTGATGGATAAATGACTTTTCACCTGAACTTAAATGGAGCAGTAGGGGCCTGCTACCACCTCTCAACCTGGACCTGCTGTCTAATAAATAAACATTGTGGGAGAGCAAAGGAGGGTCCCAACCCTGAGTCAGGTTTACTAACATCTCACCAATGTAGATGACAAAGTGCTAGATGCTCAGCAGCTGAAACAGTGGCCCTATTTCTGATAGGGGAGGTCAGAATGCAGCTTCTGGTACCCGGGAATTTCCAAAGGGGAGGTGCTTCAATTGGCACATGCAGTGCTGTGCCGGGGCACTTGGGGACAGAGAAGACACTCAACAGAGTGACCATGAAGTTCTACTGGCCGGGCATCCACCCCAGAGGCACAGGACTATTGTGCCTCCTGCCCCAAATGCCAGTGGGTGAGCCAGAAAAAGATCTTAAAGGCCCCCCTGGTACTACTCCCCTCTGCAGAGGTCCCTCTGATGGGCAGGTGCTGGGATTGGGGGACAGGGGAAGGATCACTGGATGATTGCCCTGTTGTGTCCATTTCCTTGGAAGCATCTGAAATTGGGCCCTGTCAGAAGACAGGATACTGGGCTAGATGGACCATTGCTCTCACCCAGTATGGCCATTCTTATGAATAGGCATAGAGCTGGTGGGCCCACTGAAAACGTCTGCAGCCAGGTACTAATGTATATTGGTGACCTTGGACTGTGCGACCACATAACCTGGGGCTATTCCCCTCTGGTCAGAAATGGCAGCTGTCATCGCCAGTAAGCTCATGAAAGTATTTGCCTGAATAGAGATCCCAAAAGAATTATTGACAGAGCAAGGGACAAACGTCACCTCACAGTTAATGAAGGAGGTGTGCGACCTGCTGCAGTTCAAGTCCTTGAAGACATCGGAATACAACCACCAAACCGACAGCCTGGTGGAACATTTTAACAAAACATTAAAAAATTAAGGAAGGTCATGACCACTGACTCTTAACACTGGGACCATTCTACCTGTTCTGCTCACCACCCATGAGGTGCCCCAGGCATCCACAGGTTTCTCCCCATTTGAATTACTTAATGGGAGGTAATCAAGGGGAATCCTGGACCTCCTCCATGAGACATGGGAAGGGCAGAACTCCAGAACAACCAATGTAGTGCAGTATGTTATACAGTCAAGAAAGAAACTGAAGACCCTGGGGGCACTTGTGAGGGAAAAGCTGCAAATGGCACAACACAACCAGGAGCAGGTCACCAGCAAGGCCCATCTCTGAGGGCTCCAACCTGGAGACTGAGCGATACTTCTGTTGCTGACTTTGAAATCCAAACTACTGACCTGATGGCAAGGCTCTTTCAAGGTGATAAGACAGGTGGGGGAGATTGTTTATGAGGTCCGATAACCCAGAAGGAAGATATCAACCCAGGTATATTATGTCAACCTGCCCAAGTCTTGGAAGGGACAGGAAGGCCTCCTCGTCATCCCATTCCCTCCCTACCCCAAACTCGGCCCTCAGGCCCCCACACCCAAGATAACATCACAGTACTGGTAGGGAAGAACCTGCGGCCCAGCCAAGAGCAGCGAGGAAATGGGGTAGAATGAACAGGCTGGAGGGAAGCCAGGTCCTTTTCCTGAAATGCCACATGGAAAATTGAACCTGGAAGGGAACCACGATGCTGGTAAGTCCCAATTGCAGTGCCTTCACCAAACCCTGCCCTTTCCTGAGAACTGGCAGGCCCTGCGAGGCTCTGCTCATCTGAACTCTGTTCAGTTCCAGATTGTTTGGACTCTAGAGGACCATGATCCAGCTCAAAGAGAGGAGAGGTAGGAAGTGGCCCAGGGTGGCAGGTTTACATCCTCTGCATGGAGGAGTTGGTTGGTGTTGCTTCCCACGGGTCCTCGGCTGGGACCCAGTGGAGAGAAAGGCCCGGGTCCCCCTACCATGCCCCGCTCTTGAGCTAGACCAGAGACGAACCAAAATTGTGATGCCTCTGGCCTAGAAGCAGGTGTAGGCATCTCTACACACCCCCTCTTTGAGTTAAGAGACGGAAAACCGGGTATGCTAACCACTAGGTCACCTGGCCCCCCGAACAAACTATTACGTTAACATCATGAATTTTACCTGTACATTTGAACAAGCTCTTGAAAGCATGAAAACATCACTGAGTATTATACTGAGATAGGCCAGACTATATTGGACCACAGAATATTTACATACCTTTGTATCAATGTGTCATGTATTTGTGTGTTCCTGGCTTGCTGGGGGTTGGGGTGGGGGATGGGTTTCCTGTGGAATCTGCTATCAGCACGGGGTGATTATTGTCAAATTCCAAGGCTGATTATGCAGATATCCAGCGTTTGAGGCTTTGTCCCACTTCGGTAAGAGCAGTGACTGGTGTTACCTGTTTCAGGAGACTGGGGAACAAAGAAAGATTTGGGGGCACAGAAGGCTGTTTGAGATGACTGAGGGGGCTATCCTTGGGTACGTACACTGCAAAAAAACACCTCACAGGGACCCTCTGAGCCTGGGTCTGCAGACTTGGGCTCACACTACAGCAATAAAAAAAGCAGTGTACATCCTGCTCAGGCTGGAGCTTGGGATCTGAAGCCTGGGGTGGTGTGTAGGTCTCAGAGCCTGAGCTTCACCTCAACCTGGAACATCCATATGGCTATTTGTGCTGTAGTGCTGTCACCATGCCTCAGTGAGTCACAACTGAGAACACCAAATTCAGAACAAACTTCTGAGAAATAGGGCAGACTCACCCCAAAGCTGGTGGTTATTCTCCCATAAGATATATCAATCCAGCAACAAAAGTAAACTTCTATCTCACCACACTGGCTAACAAGAAGTCAGAAATACAGCCTCCTTAGGTATTCCAGTCCTTGTATCACCACCAAAACACTAGACTTAATGATGAGTGGTTATTTACAACCAATTTCATTAACCAGAGGGTTCTTCTGATCCCAAAGGACCAGCCACATACCCAGGTCAATATATAACTCAGATATTACCCAACAGTCACACTTTTGCCAATCCTTTAGTATCTAATATCTGAAGGTTTATTTATAAAAAGAAAGAGATGAGAGTTAAAATTGGTTAAAGGAATCAAATACATACAATAATTGCAAAGTTCTTGGATCAGGCTTGTAGCAGTGATGGAATAAACTGCTGGCTTGTTAAGTCTCTGGTTGCTTCCAAATCATTGGAAGGTTCTCAGTCCCTTGGTTAGAATGCTCCCATTAGTATAAGTTCATAGTCCAGAGGTTTGAGCAGGAAAGAGGCAAAATAGAAATGCTTCCAGGGCCTTGTGGAGGGAAACTCATTGTTTCAAACAAAGCCCTCCACACAACTTGTGGAAAATCACAGGTAACAAGATGGAGTTTGGAATCACATGAGCAAGTCACATGCCCATGCATGCTTTGCTTAGTCATATCAGAGGCCATTACCCATACCCATACCCATTACCCACAGCAGAGGCCATTACCCACACAGGACTTTCCTGTGAACACTCTGGTTAGAATGCTGACAGGAAAGTCCATTAAATGTAGATGGGCGACTTCCATGGTCCACT